TCTTCTCGCTTGCTTTCTTCCCGCCGCGCCGTTTCCTTCCGCCCCCCTACCGCCCCGTTGATTGGTGCCGTATCTAGACTATTTTTGGGCCCGCTGTCTCCTCGTTTGATGGCTCGTTGTCGGCTGGCCTCCTCCTTGCCCTTGTGCCAAGAGGCCATGAACCTCTCAGCTCCCTGTAGCACCCCCGCGTGCCACGGTACCCCCCCCTCCACCTTCGCCGCCTCACTCCAGACTAACTTCGGGACTCCGAAGACGCTCGGCTTGTCGGTCGTGGAGCCGTACCTGGCTTCGAACATCTTCATGTCGTCCTTCAGGCATGTCAGCCAGTTCTGCTCCGGGTTTCCCCGGCCCGGGTCCTCCCCTCCCACCAACTCGCCGAACATCAGCCGTTTCGGAAGCCGCCCGTCTGGTTATTATATGTCATAGTCTTTGCTTCGGAGGATCACACGTGTTCGTGCCCATAGGAAAGCAAAACAGACAATAAAAAACGCCACGGGTTTCAGCGGGGAAAGCGTGCAACATCCCCCCGCGTTGGCGCCCCCAGGGTCACCACCCCTACCACATTTTCACCAGCCCAGGGCTCCACACCAACACCTCGGATCGGCACGAAACTTGGCGGGAACTTCGATCAAGTTGTGTAATACACCGGTAAGAGGTTCATTGGATTTTTAATGCCGGCGAGGTGGAGAAAGAAAGGGGTATTTGGCTTGAGGACACAAGAGGAAAGTTTCGTACCACGGTGACACCGGGTTTGCCAGGCAACTTTCAGCCAATTTGGTTACCATCAAAACGTGCTCTGCAGCAGCGATTGAACTGGCAGCTGACCGGTTCCATAGATGTAGATTGATGAAAAGATGTGCACTAATTGGGATCAGCACTAAGCGCGCGAAATCGGTGTAGCAGATGTTATCCGGTACAGCAGGTTAAGAGGCCCCCGTGCCTCTCTTGTACTGCTTGTTTAGCCATGAAAGTAACAGGATGCTGTGTGTGTGCCCTTGGTTCACTTTCCCTCACATGAAGCTCCCAAATAAACACGTTGAATGTTGCTTCCGTCTCTTTGGTAGGACAGGGTAATGTCGGAGGAATGCTGCAGCGCGTGCCAGCAACCAACGGCAAGAGTTGACGTTCGCTGTATGAGAGAATGGACCGGGGGTAATGTCCGGGCTTTCCTGGAGGCAGCCGGCGTGGGAGACAAGTTCCCCGGCTTGAAGTGCGGCGATCCAAGCATAAACAAGCTCATCCTATGTAAACGTGCGGGTTGCCTGTTGGAGCTGTTCGTACTGAACCAGCGAAGGGAGAGCAGGGCGCCTACCAAACGCCGAGCAAAGCGAGGGCCGAAGTGGACGTGCGCTCCTGAACCTGTCAATCAAGCAGCTGAAGCGCCGGTGTCTTGATCGCTACTGCACTTCGCCCGCGGCGTTGGAGGCTTTGCTGGGTGTTGTTAGCATCAGCGGGTGTGTGCTGGACATGTGCGGGGGGACGGATGATGCTGTAGCGATTCGCCTTCGAGGCACGTGCCAAGTACTAACGAACGATGTGCGACCAAGGTGAGGGGATGACGCGCTTTTTTTTTTGTGTGCTTGCGGTGAGAAGTAGATAGACACCCTTCCTGCTCTTTCCATAGCGCTGGGTATTCTAGCGTAACATTCCCTTGAACTCCCCAGCACGAAATGAGGCCACTCGTAGGCGCATTGTCAACGCTGTTTGCCTCTTGGTGTGGACGACGCCGTTCTACATATGCCTGTCAACGTCGAGCCGCCTAGGCGAATTGAGAGCAGTAGTATCAATCTGTTTTAAAGGATGCTGAGTTACCTTCAACGGACCTAATTGTGCAATCTGCTCCAAGCTTACCGTTCCTTGTTTCGTGCAGGTCCACGTCGTAGATAGGCTCGCACCAGCGGACCTGCAGTAAATGAGGCCGCTCTTTGTTTGCGTGTACCCTTTTTTATCGTTGAAGTTTCGCAGATAGGTTACATGTGGAAACGAAATGCCGCAAACCGAGTTTTTGCCAGGCACAGATGTTGCTTGCGGTGCACGCATTTGGAGCAACCCAAGCTTGACTGTATCCCATTGAGGCCAAAGCATATGGGGGGAATTCGTAGTCTACGGGTGACCGACAGTGACGGCGGCCTTTTTTTTTTCTTTGGTGTGGTCCAAACGCCTTGGTGTTGTTCTCACCTTCCAGAGCAAGTTTTATTCCTAGGAAACAAGGGGAAAAGCACGTGTGTAAGTGCGTCAGTGTTGTCCTATGCTCTGACGCCCTTTGCATCCCTCCTGTTTATTTACCTTTTTTTTTTTTCAAGGTTGTCTCCGGACACGAACCTGGACGCGAGCTCGGCGTCATTTACGGACGATTTCCTGGCAGCACACCACGAGCAACAACCTGACTGGGTCGTGACGAGGCCCCCGTACAATGGTGCGCTGGCCTTTGTCAAGGCGGCGTTGCCGGTGGCGAAGAAAGGCGTCGCGCTGAAATTGCCGCTGTCGTTTCTGGAACCCTGTGCCGACCGAGCAGGTTGGCTTCAGGCGAACCCCCCGGCTCTATGCATGATGATGAGCAGGGCCCGGTACCAACCCGCCCACGTAAGGGTGGGCGAATTTTGGGGTGTGTGGTACCCTCCTGGTAGTGGATATAGTAGTAGTGATAGCACGAAGCTTTTATTTGTTCCTAGTTAGAATGGGTTGTTGAGAGTCCGGGAGGACGAAATCGCGCATGGAGCCGTTTTTTTTTTCTATGTTACGCTCAGGCTTCAGGTCAGTCCGACCGCTGACCTTAGGTGTCAGAGGGCGCGCCCCTTGCGGTAGACCCCACAAGCCGATGTCCCAACATTGAACGGTAATGCGCACGAGCAATTCATGAGTGCGCTAGGAATGAGGGAAATGTACTACTGTGATTGCGATTTACCGGCAACACGTAGCCGACTCGAGTATATGGGGGTCAGTGCTGTTATTTGGTGGCGAGGACTCTCTCGTTTTTGTGCCGGTGTTTCTCACTGAGTCTTCGGCAGCTTCCCTTTGTGATGTGACATGAGGCGCACGCCGCGCTGGCCGCGGCATCGGAGCGTGTGTGCCTATGTTAGTTTAGTGTGTACTACCAAAAGCAGTTGTAGCGGGTGGTGTCATGTGAAGAACAGCCCCAAATATTTGTTTGCTGTGCTTCAGGATCCGCGTCCTGTTGATAACATATTTGCAGCAAGAAATACAACGAAATATTATCAATTATCAAACGGACATCTCGTTACTCGGCGCCGCCATATTATCAGTCGACAACACCACCCGCTGCTGCGTACCCCCGACCGACCCCTCGTTAGCGAGTTGTTCCTCGTACTCTCGCGCATCCTCTTCGGAGAATCCACACACACCGGTGTATNTGGCCGCGGCATCGGAGCGTGTGTGCCTATGTTAGTTTAGTGTGTACTACCAAAAGCAGTTGTAGCGGGTGGTGTCATGTGAAGAACAGCCCCAAATATTTGTTTGCTGTGCTTCAGGATCCGCGTCCTGTTGATAACATATTTGTAGCAAGAAATACAACGAAATATTATCAATTATCAAACGGACATCTCGTTACTCGGCGCCGCCATATTATCAGTCGACAACACCACCCGCTGCTGCGTACCCCCGACCGACCCCTCGTTAGCGAGTTGTTCCTCGTACTCTCGCGCATCCTCTTCGGAGAATCCACACACACCGGTGTATACCCCAAACGACGAATGCCCTTCTTTCTCGAAACCACCCAAACATTCTACAATCGGCTAATCGTCATCATCATCAGACTCGGACTCGCTGCCACTATCATCATCGTCGGGCAGTACTTCCTCAGGTGAAGACCCTCGCTGCACCCTGGGTAAGGTGCTTTGTTCCTCAGCAGGTAGCACTTACACAACTGTGAACAACGACCTGGACCACCCCCTTGCATGCAAACGCAGCCCCTACATTGACCCTTCCCCCTCTCAGATGAACATCTGCACGACACGATGTGCATTCCTACACCCGCCCAGAGGGTCACCTTCGGCAGATCACGCAACACCAGCAAAGCCCCCCGTTCGCACTCCGTATTCGCAATGTACCCCTTGCCATTCCAGTCGGGAATTCGAATCGGATACATGGCGGACACATTTTCGGAAGAGACGGGCAANCTACATTGACCCTTCCCCCTCTCAGATGAACATCTGCACGACACGATGTGCATTCCTACACCCGCCCAGAGGGTCACCTTCGGCAGATCACGCAACACCAGCAAAGCCCCCCGTTCGCACTCCGTATTCGCAATGTACCCCTTGCCATTCCAGTCGGGAATTCGAATCGGATACATGGCGGACACATTTTCGGAAGAGACGGGCAAAATCGAGAGCCAATACTCCACCACCCATTCCATGCGTAGCACGCAGTTGTTAATAATGTCGTAGTTTGGGGCAGGAGCCTTAATGTCCCCCTTCCCAAAACTATGTTCGGTAGTGCGGTCGCTGATGGCCTAGACCCATGGCCCTACGTCATCGACCTGCCCTTCCAGGTATTCCGACCTTACCTGGCGTCCCGGAAGGACGTTCACAAAGAGTTTGCGATGTTTTGTAAAGTACGCTAGCGAGACAAACTTCACCAATTCCTCTCTGGCCAGGTCTACACCAGATACCGAACCCCCTCACGTTGCTCGGAACCCAGCGGCAGAACAAAGTTGTGGTTGCCGGCATCCTTCAACGCGTCGTAGAATGCTTGGAACACACTCGATGCCGTCAAGCCACTAAGCGTTGGAGTAAAGTCAGTCCCGTTAAGAACAAATGCGGAGACTATCGGTAGCACCCTCTGCAAATTGGTGAACGAAGATGGCCAATTTCGCATTGCCGATAGATCTTGGAAAAGCTTCAGGACGTCGATGCAGTTGACGTAGGTGTTACCGGTCACCCCGCTCTGTTGTCGCACGATGATACGCACGTCCCGAGTCGACGGATGCACGGCGTACGCCAGGAGAGCTGCCATCCAAACGTCGGTGTCAACCAAAACTACCTGATTCATGCATGTAGGGGTGCGTGAATTGTATCTGAGCCTTCTAAGATACTAGCTCGATATCTCAGCCTGGAAGAGACACTGACACCATATGAGAGTACGACGCGAGAAGTCTTCCAAACGGCTAGATAAAACACCACAGACATTCAATTTCCGAGTTGATGTTAGGACATCCATTCTGAAGGATCCAAAAACGACAAGATGATGGGCCAAAATGTGCTACCGTAGCAGGACCGGCGATAAACTTCTCCATATCCTGCAGAGCCGTTCGAACTGCCGCGCAGCGAACTGCTAGCGATATCCCCAGGGCCTCTTTGGGGGTTGTGAATTTGGCACCGAAGATACCCAGCCCAGCAGCATCAGGGCAACAAGCCCCATCGCCATAAATCATCACCGGCTTTCCCCTACGTCCACCGTCCACCGGCGCGGCACCGTTGCACAGAGCCTCTGCCAAATGATCCACTAACTCACCCAAAGGTCCATCATAGCCCTGGAATAGTACGATTGCGCACAAATGGTGTGGGCGCCTAAAACATATGACATTGGCGTAGAGCCTGTCGCAAGAACGTTTCCCTCCATGCCGTACGTCTCGTCGCATGCATCTGTCGTTGTTACTCTATTAGCAATAATCCGGTAGCATTTACTCGACGAAGCTCTCAGTAGTTAAGGTTGTCCACTGAGAAAAAAACAGTTGGAGTGTAGTCTAGACCTCGTTCGACACAACAGCCGTGTTAGATACCCCCCCACTCGCTTCAGGTCGGCGCTTACCGGTAGGATGGGGTTGATTTGCTCTCCGTCCAATGTTTGCACAAAGCTGGCAGCAAAGTTGACCAGGTCGGAAGCAGCCTCCGCCGACACACCGTCCCTAACTTCCCCGGAGAGTAGTTGCTTCATTTTCGTGCGGACTGTTGCGAGGAAGACATTTCCGCGAATAGCTCCCCCCCCGTTCGCTACGCCCGGAATGGGATTCTCACTACGGACCCCTCTCATATCGCCAACAAATGCTTGGCGCCAAATGCTTGGACCTGTCAACGTGGGTTGCCAAGTCCAGCCAGACATGTCAACCGAGCAACGAGGATGTTGTGTCACCAGGACTTTTGTCGCTGTCACGCGTGGAAGGTCTGCATGTATGCATACTACAGTTCTATACAGACTAGTGATGAAAGAAAAAATATGCCTTACACCCTACGGGAACAACCGAGGTTTTGACAATAACTTCACTCGATTTTAGGTTTTGTTTTGTAAGTTCGTCAAACGTAAGAATCGTGCGCGTTCATTTCAACTACTTTTGTATCTCCATGCCACAACCCTACCCAGGATCGTCGTGTTGTTCACCGGGTTAGAGAATCAGGGCTGAAGGGTAGGTGGTTTCTTACGACATGTAACAGTCACATGTTTGCCCCACACCACCCACCACGTAAAATATTGCACTTTTCAATACTCGGTGAACCAGTTATTCACGCAGGAGAATGTGAGTGACAATCATTGTGAGCCCTCATATAGCATACGCAATTTGGCGTCGCTACTGCCGACTGCACAAGTGTTTATGGCGTGTGGAGAGCGCAAGCGGGGACGGGGTGTGTGCTCGAAGTTCAAATTTTGAAATTTGTACTTTGTTGTTGCAAGGCGGACCGCTGTTGTTGCATTTGCTATGAAAGAAACGCTGACTAACCCATAGGGCAGCCAGACCTCACGTGAACACTCTCGACGGCAGCGCGACTGCTGACCTCAACAGACCAAGCGTTAGCACACGTGTTGGGCGTGTGGAGCGCGCGCCATGTGCAAGCGAGCGGCATAATATCTGCTGTAAGGGGAATATAGCAGTTCATACCTCATGACCTCTTCACCAATATCTGTGATACTCATGCGTGTGGTGATATTCGAAACAACCGTGCTCAAAGAACCCTAACAAGCCACTCACGCACCTCTGTTGCAGTCAATGGAGCGCTGGCTGGACTTGTGACGGCGCCGTTGCGCGTTGAACATTGCAGCAGAAAACAGGAAAAAACAGCCAGTATTCGTAATACTGGAAGCACGCAACGGACCTAAATGCAGTTTGATTACCCGATGGGGTGAACCAAAATTGACAGCGAATAGGTGTGTGAGCATCGCCAATGTGTGGGTAATCCATAGGNAATATCTGTGATACTCATGCGTGTGGTGATATTCGAAACAACCGTGCTCAAAGAACCCTAACAAGCCACTCACGCACCTCTGTTGCAGTCAATGGAGCGCTGGCTGGACTTGTGACGGCGCCGTTGCGCGTTGAACATTGCAGCAGAAAACAGGAAAAAACAGCCAGTATTCGTAATACTGGAAGCACGCAACGGACCTAAATGCAGTTTGATTACCCGATGGGGTGAACCAAAATTGACAGCGAATAGGTGTGTGAGCATCGCCAATGTGTGGGTAATCCATAGGTGATGTGCACGAATTGGGATCAGCACTACAGCGCGAGTTGTGGCAGAATAACCAATAACACTGCGCGGAGAGACTGCTTCCCGATGTGATTCCAGGATTTGTACTGTCTGCATAAAAAAAAAAATGGAACTTTTTCCGCGAACACCTGTGGGATTGCACCGCGAACAATTGCCGCAAACAAACACGATCAACAACAACTCCCACACACCCATCACACAGATTGACCCAGGATAGAGAGCGGGTGCCAGCCCTCAAGGCGTAGGGCTGATTTACCAGTCCAGCTGGCTCGTGCCGCTGCGTTTGGGGGTGCGGTTGGTGTTGGCGAGGCCCGGCGGGACGAGCCAACTTCAGGCACAGCGAGAAAGTGTCAAGACGTGCAACATGATGATCACTGCATCCCACCACCTCCGACGGTATGGTCCAACGCAGTATCAATCATATGGCGTGGGTGGGTGTCCATTCGCCCCCCATCTATTGATTGTGGTACTAGTCTACACACATTATGGTTGTGTGCTGCTGTGTGCCTTGGCGGATCCCGGCCGGCGTCACACCGTCACACCGCACGATCACACAGCTTGAAATCGCCCCTTGTGTTTTTTTTGGTCCTCCCCGATAGACCGGAGGCCATTGCAGCGAACGCCGCGTGGAGCGTTGCCTTTTATCAAGGAGGCTCACACGACTTATTTATTTGGCAGCATAGGATGTGGCCAATCAATGATGGGGTCCCGCATGTCGCGGAAACAAGGAAGGAGCTGTTTGTGTCGTCGTTTCGACGTCTCTGTCTGCATCGTGCATGCCCTACGAAAATCGCCGGCCGTTCCTCTGAAATCAATACAATTGTATCAACCGTTTGTGTTTGGGTGTTCTTGTCAGCAACATCACATGTGCATATTCTAGACTAAGTCTATAGTCTATAACCAGCAATTTTTTTTTTTGAAGAACCACCGATCTACGCTACAGACGTGTGGACCTCACATCGTCAAAGACTTCGTGCGTCGCGATGTCATGATAACGTCAGCTTCCTCTGCCTATCGAACCGCCGTATCCATCCCACGCACGCATGCTGGCCGCCCGCCCAATCGGGGGGTGGGGGGGCAATCGTTCCCCCTACCAACCAGCAAGACCCAGGACCTTTCAGCCAAACGAAAAAGAGCGGCAAGAGACTGACGTGTTTCTCGTACCCTTTTTAAGAGGCCGATGTTCCCCCTAGACTGCTGTGGCGCGGCCTTGACTAATTCGCTCGCCAGCAACGCTGAACGACCTCCACCCCTCCCCCCCGGAAACGATTGGCCATCGGTAGTAGGTCCTCCTGGGGGAACAACGCTCTGTCCTCTCGAAGACGACGTGGTCAGTCAGGGTTAAAGGAAGGCATGCGAAACATTAGTACACCCCCCATCCCCCCGCTGACTCGCGCCTTCCAGGACGTACCGGCAGTGCGCTCGGCAGGCGGCCGGCTGCGTGGTATGCAGGTGACTCATTCATGCAAGATAGGGAGGGAGGGAGGGGTGCCTGACCTGTTTCTGGGTCTGGGTCTCGAAGTGACAAGCTCGGCGTCTCAAGCCCGAAATTGATACAGACACAACGCGAGCCATGCGGCGCGACAAGTCGATGAAACTCTCATAAAATCGGAATGGATACTTACGGGTTGGTCAACCCGAACACGAGAAATTCTTCGCCATAATAAAAGTGCTATCCCTACCGCCGTTGCAAGTTAGCTGCCTCCGCGTCTTCCGGCGGAGGCTACCGCGCCTTCCCGGGGTAGTGTGGGGTTGAGGTTGGGGACTACAACATGTTAATCCAGGACCGATATTCATGACGTAAAACCTTGAGTTTCACACACCGTGCTCGTTCCAGCACACAGACATGGGAGAGTAAGCACAAACAGAGAAACACACGTATCATTTGCGTGCTCTTTCTCTCTCTCGATCGATCGAGGGGCCCCGCACTTGACCCCCCAACAGCTTACACCCCCTCCACACACATAGGTCCCTGATCGGCTGTGTCGTGTTCAAGTGCCCCGAACATTGCACGACTGACTCAGGTGGTTGCTGTTCGCGGCGTCGGCGGCGGTGTTTGTCTTGCGGGTCTACACCGAGAGGGGGTGGTATGTGGTGGCGTACTCCGTCGGTATCTTGGTGCTGAGCAACACCGTGCACTTCTTGACGCCCCAGGTACGTGTGTTTTGAACAACTCTGGTCTTGGACAGCACTACATAACAATACTGGCCTTGAACAACACCGTACAGTTCGTTTACGCCCCGCAGGAATGTGTGTCTTGAACAACATTTGCTGGACAGCTTTTGACCTCGCAGACATGTGTGTCTTTAGCAACACTGCTGTACAGTTTTGACGCCGCAGGTGTGTCTTGAGCCACACTAGTTGTTAAAAACATTCGTGGTACATGTATTCTGGAACAACACAGATTTTTACTTCCAGGTATGCTGTACGTCTTGAAAGGAAGGCTGGTCGTCTCACTCCAGGTATGTAGTTATTGGCCATGATCCCAAAACATCCGCGCCTGCTGTGTCGAATCACTGGTGTTGTTTTACGTAGGCGAACTCTTTTTGTGCTGTTGTTACTGCGCTAGCTCGAACCGTTCGGGCCGTTCCCATCAAAACCTAGAGTACTGACGCGAAAGCTTCAAGACGTTACGAGTGTTGCCACCATGAAAGCCGCCCAAGTATGTACCCCGTCTACCGCGACTTGTGCGATTGCGAGACCCGGACGAAACCACTGCCGCGTTGCGCTTTACTACACAGGATCGTGTTGTATTTCTCTAGTTCCATCGCCGTTAATATTGGCTGAACGAACTGTCCTCCTGGTTGACCAATAAAATTGCGTTGCGCCTCAACGGGGCCTGGTCTAGCAGCGAAACCTTGATACCGCGTGTTGGTACCGCGGTTGTTTGCAGCGGTGTCTTTGTGCGTGGGCGGTGGGCGACTTGTTCGGTTCGGTGTGTGAAGATTTATGGGGTGCTGAACACGCAAGCCGGAAAACCGTGGTGTCCCCCACATATGCCCCGCTCACGCGCAAGCGTTTCACCCTATCACTAGTCTTGTTGGGCGATTTTTCTTTGCGACCCGCCCGCACATCGCTTTATTCAACGCTGTTTTCGCTATCGCCGCCGCCGCCCGTCACCTGCTTCTCCTTGCCTCCTACAAAAAAAAAAGATTGGCCCCGACGCGGAGAGACTACGGGGACTTCGGCATCGTTTCAGGTATACTTTACCTCTGTATCATAAGTCTGGTCTATTAGGTTTACACGCCGCCATAACGGTGTCCGATCTGTTTTTCGTTTTTTTTGTTGAATTCTACGGCGTTTTTTGAGCAAGAAAACATTTTTTTTTTTTACGCTGGTGCTTGAACCATGCGACTAACGGGCGGAAAACTGTGAGTCGGCCCAATAACGGCCATATTTTGCCCTTTTCCGGGGGTTGGGGTACGAGGGGCATTGAGCCTAACCCCCCCCCAAAAAACCAAGAACTATCCCCAACCCTAAAGCTAACCCCGCGTACAATCAGCCATCCACAATACTTCCCACATACTAAAACCATATTGATAGTGACCCACACACTAAATTCAAGACATTCTGGGGTCCACACTAAAACCAAGACACTTGGGGATCCCACACTAAAACCAAGACACTTGGGGGGCCCACAAGTGTCTGTTGGTGTCGGTGGGCCCAGCGCACCCTTGGGTATCCGTACATGGCCCGGCGGAATAGCCAGCGCAGCCTCCACTACAATTGCAATGCGGCGGCCCACTGAAAGCTCGCCGCCCTTGGGGCGATGTGAGGGGGTACTTCGGGGCGTATCCATCGTTTGCATAGTGTGTGGGAGGTGGTAATCACGACTGATCTCACGAATTCTAAAAATATTCTCAAATTCTCTAAAACGTTCTCAAAACAATTCTCAAAGCATTCCAAAATGGGCATATTTTGACCTAATTTTAGTGTATAACACGGTCTTCGTTTTCTTTTTTTTTTTAGTCAGGTTTGCATATGTCTTGCCTTTCGAACGCACCCAGCCAAGGGCTAAACGTCAACCTGAGTATCTTTACTACTACACGCACATAACAGACCAGACTTATGATACAGAGGAAGTAGACAGTTTCGGTGCCATCACAAGCTTGGTTGTGGAGCAATCGAGCTGTTCTGAAGATCGGTGTACGGGGGGGCGCCTTCTCTTGCATTCTTGCGGTGCACCATGGTGGTGTTGGTGGTACCCTCTGTTCCGTTGCTTTGGATGCCCGTTGCCGTACTGCAGATGTAGCTCCCGGCCGGTTAGCCTCGTCTGCTGTCCTACCTCCAGATGAGTATCGTAGTAGTAGGTGTTTTCTCTTGTATTTATTTTTCGACTGCCTCGCAGAGGCAGGCGAGAGGGAGAGAACGAGAGGGCGAGTGGCAACACAACCTACGAACGGCTACAGAACGCAAGTACCAAGTCACCCCGCGTGTGTGTACGCCCAGCCGACAGGAAGCCGTCATAGAGATCACGTGCCGACGGCACGATGATGCCAGCCATGATGCTCACGAAGGGGACATTTGTCCATCCCATGGCAGCAGGCTCTTCCCTCCCCTAATCGGCGGGCGCCTAAGGGAGTACCCGTGCTGGAGATCTTCGCAGAAAGGGCTGCTGATTGCGATCGGCATGACATTTTTTGGGCTGTTCGACATCCCCGTTTATCCGCCGATGCTTGTGGTGTACTTTGCCTTCCTCATGGTGAGTGGTGGGTGGTTGGCCGGAACTGTACAGAGAGGTTCACAGAGGTCAGGCACGCACGTCATAATCGGATCGAGGCTCAATTTTTTATTTCGTCGCCACCGTCTCAGCGTAATTTTTCGCCGCCACTACCGTAAGGATGCGAGAGAACGCACGGGGGTGCGATCGATTTTCAAAGCGTATTTTCTCAACCACCAGGAGGGTACCACTGCCGAAAAGGGTGCTTTTGAAAATTCTCATCAAGGGCTTTCCTGAGAGGTTTCACTTGGCGTTCGCACTCTCCTGGTTGTTGAGAAATTACGCTTTGAACATCGATCGCACCCCCGTGCGTTCTCTCGTATCCTTGCGGTACTTTGGTGTAATGATGCACACCTCAGGTGTGTTTCTTAACGCATGTTTCTTCCGTTTCAAAATGTATAAAAAATACTTGTTACCTGCGGGCCCGCATCAGGGTATAGTTTCCGCTCGGGAATAGATTTATTACTAGCCAACGGTGCGGACCATTCCTGGTATTCGTTAGTTTCAAGTGTATCGTAAGGATGCAAGAGATGATGCCCCTCCTAGACCAAGGCTTCGAAGTTTGATTGCTCCACAAACAATCACGTGGGTGCCGAACGAGCACGATACGTCAACGGAAGGCCCTCGGGGAGGTGTTCGTTCCAGATCCTTTTTTTTTTGCGTTGGCACAACCTTGGTTGTGGATAAGTCGAGCTTGACAATCATTCTAGGGGGGGTGCCATCTCTTGCACTCTTATTATAGTTCCAACTTCCTTTCCGACGCCGCTTTTTTTCCCAACATCGGCTAGTGAGAGTATAGTCTGTGGCGGGTCAGGCGGATCAGTTAACTGTTTGAGCCACCGCCGCAAAGATGTCGGCGAGGGGGATGGGTACCGTAGGTAAAGCAAGATATCACAACCCCTTGGACGCATTTTCGAAACTTGATCACTCCACAGCACCTGCAGAGGAGACTGGCGGTGCCGGAAATGACGGCGTTGAAACTATCTCGTCGAAAGGTTTCAGAAGGCTCATCGTTTGACTTATACACCTTCTTTGTCGTGGAGTAGTCGAGCTTTGAAACCGGCCCACGGGGTGTGATATCGTATGTGACCTGCGGTAGACCCCCGTTACATCACCGGCAGGAGGAAAGGGTAGATCGGGTCTCAAAGCGAAGATTTAGTTTTCTGTCACAATGAATGAACGAGAGGCTAGCCCGATCCACATCACTCAGTAGAAGCCCGTTGGTCGACTAGTGTACAGAGGTAGAGGTCGGGCCTTCAATGAGTGGTCCGGGTTAGCCGTTGCACAGCAGCGCCCTCCCTGACACTGAAATCAGGGCTAAGTTTGCTGAAGAAACAAAATGGAGTTATTGTTACCAGGGCTAAGAATATAAAAGACTTGTGTGGAATTTCGGTGTGGAATTTCGCACCCGGCGGCGAGCCGTTTTTTCCACCGGGATTGACACTACAGCAGTCGTACTACACAAAGAGGCAGTGAGATGCCACCCCCCCTAGAACAGCTTGCAAACCTTCATGGGTCCATAACCAGAGTGGCGCCGAAACCCGTAGACGAGATGTTTCCAAAACCGTCGTTTTTGTTGATGGTACAATCTCAATTGCGGAGAAATCGAGCTTTGAATATCGGTCTAGGGTGGGTACCATCCTACCGCCTTTTATGGTATCTGTGCCGAGACAACTGCACGTCTAGTCAGAAATGTGGTGGTGCGAGCTCTGTAGGCTATTTGGGTGGCGTTTTCCGTGGTGCAAGAAGGCGAATATACACACGACCCGCCTTCCTCGATTCCAACGTTTCCCAAGGCGTTCACCCTGTTCAAGGTTTGTCGAGAGAGGCGACGGGCGAGCGGAAGGCGAGTGTGGATGCTATGACGTGTATCTCACGGAAGGGGCGACAAGAGATGATGTACTATAGCGGCCGAGGTTTATGAGAGAGAAGACTGTAGTTTAGAGTGTTCGGCTGCTTGTCCCGGCCATGAGGGAAACGTACCGGAATTTGCCTGCTCGGTACCGGGGGGCGCTGTTCGGAAGGATATGTTTCGATGCGAGTCATGACCCTGGCACGGACCGTCGGCTCGTCGAAGATGTACGCAATTGTGCCCATGGGAGCAGGAAGTCGCGTTGGGGGAGAGGGGGGATTGGAGGACTTAGGTGGATGCTTCGGTGGCCTTCATCCACCCGTAGCTACGATCAATGCTGTCGCCAGGATTTAGAAGATTTTTTTTCATCAGCACGCCGTTGCGCCGCAGGGTGTTGTCGTCGACAATGACCACGGTGGTGTCGGCCTGTTGCCTTGTTTTCCTGTCTATCTGTTTCTGTTGCTCGGACTCATCCTTTGTGACACGGGAGAGGAGCGGCATGATTTGATTTCGGTATTGTTATTTAGAAATGTTTTATTTAACGGAGCTCGGACGCGAACACTGCAGTTCGTGATTTCGTGGTTGTCAGCAACGCGCTTAACGGGAGCCCTTGGCGGGATGGTGGCGATTGCACGAATTATGTACCTCGTTTGAACGGTCGTATTTACTATCATTTCAAGCAATGTACATGCCTGCCAACAAGCAAAAAAACGAAAAGTGGCAAGACCAAGGCCATGAAGAGAGAGGAAAAGTGGCTCCTGCCTTTCTCTACACCGCAGGCGCTCTGTTTCCCTCCAGCTTGGCCCAAGGGATGCGCCGATCCGATGTATGCATGTGTGCGCAGTAAGCGGGCTACCTGATCTACGGGTGCCACTGCCCCGTCACCAGCTCCACTTGTTGCTGCGACGGATTACCGCCAAACAGCAAGAGTCCTTTGACACCGGCCATCGGCTACACAAACGTATGTTGTGTCAGATCACATTTGACACAAAAGCGTTCAAGTCAAACCACCAGTCAACGCTTGGAGCATTTTGCCCAAAAGCTTTGTTTGCCTAGAAATTTAGGCTTTCGAACACACCAGCATTTGAAAGCGTCGCGGCGTGTCGCTTCGATGATGCTGATTCGAGCCTGCTAGCCAGCCACAACCAACCGTGAGTACGGGGATCTATCCCCCGCATCACGCCGCAAGCTTGCGGGCAAACACGCGCAGGAGCCTCGGGTTGTCGCTTGTCGAGACCTGTGTGTCGAGCGCCTTGGGGACATTGCCCATGTCGTAAGGGGCTCCTCCAGGCATCGTGTAGTCGGGGGACACGGGATGGTCGTGGGGCGTGGAGGCAGGCACCTGGTAGCCCACGGGGCCTGGCCCGAAGAAGGTAATGTGGCCGACCCAATACGGCGCGGCCGGGTCCATGCCCTACCATCTCGGGATGGGGTTCTACAGCGGAACCTCGACAAACAGGTGCCCGCCAGCCTTGAGCTTGCGGCCCCAGGCGCGCAACGAGTCGAGCGGCCGAGGAAGATGCTCCAGCGTCATGGATGACACGAT